CGCAGACGAACTGACGCGATACTTTACAATCCTACAGCTAATTTCTAATGCCCAACATGGTTTCAGACGCAGACGATCTTTCCGCACCAATTTATTGCTTACTGGAGACTCAGGCGGCTGATGAGGAAGTTCCCATAAATGTGATTTACTTAGATTTTTCTAGAACATTCGATAGGATCGATCACATAGTTCTTCTCCAAAAGCTTGCTGCCTACGGTATCAACGATACCTTGCTTACCTGGTTTGAAGATTGCTTACACTACTGAACAATCATGGTAAGAGTAGCGGACACTCACTCTGACATCCTTTTGCGTCCCCAGTGGTGTACCGCAAGGATTCGTCCACGGCCCGCTACTGTTTTTAGTCTACATCAATGACCTTCCAGTAAACATTCTATCTCCGATGAAAATATTTGCTGAGGATACTAAAATAGTGGGAGCAATTCGCTCAGCATCCGACCGTGTCTAACTTCAGGATGATCTGGCTCGGACTAACGGAAGGGCAGAAACGAACCAGCTCCTACTTAACCCTGAAAAGTGCCGCCTGCTGACGGTGCGTAGCAGCTTCATCAACACATCTCTTTTGGGGTAACGCGTTCTGCAACATGTGACCAGTGAACGCGACTTAGGTATAATCAATGTTCGAAAGCAGCAAGTGTGACGAACTTGAACTTGAGACTTTTGTGGCGATGTCTCGGCACTTGTAAGAGACGGTTAGTACCATTGCTGATTAACTCGTATATACGTCCTTACTTGGAATATGCAATTCAGGCCTAGTGTCCATGGTTAAAACGAGACAATCGCCTATTGAAGCAACCCAAAAAAGAGCCACAAAGGCAACACATATACCATCCAGTCTCACTTACAAACTGGGTCTTCGTTTACTCGGTGTGTTCTCCTCAGAATACCGACGGCTTCGCGAAGATCTCATGCTCACATACCGGATACTAACTGAAAGCGAGCACCCATATACATCACTGCTGACCCTAGCCCCTTACAAAGAATGCCGAGGCCATCACCTGAAACTAATGAGGCAACACTTCCGTTTGAATTGTAGATAGTATTTTGACTCACTTAGAATCTGTTCCCGCTGGAATGCATTACCAACATATGTGGTGACGCACCAGACATCACGACATTCGAAAGACTATTAGCCTTTTTCATCTTAGTGATAAAAGCTACACAAAAATTTGATAAAGTGCAATGGCCTAATCACTGATATTTCACGTTCCTTGTTGGATCATAGATTTTACTTTTATTTTGCATATCCATCCTCTGGGTCTTATTAAGTTGTGCGTTCCATCCCCTCATACACTATTGAATTATTGAACCGTTATTTTTATAATTTTTATACTTTTTTCTCGTAACCATTTTGTGGGACATGGCAAGCATTCGCTTTTAAACCCGTCATAAACCATTGCTCCATTGTTCTATTGTTGTCTCTAAATTACTCAACCTGACACCGCCGACGTTTACTTCTCTCACGACTTTCCGATTGGGATGAACTATTCGACGTATGTCCAGTTGTCGCGTTCCTTATCTCGTGTATAGGTCCACACAGTATTTCCGCTAGACCCATCAAACACGATCGGTGGAAGAATTTATTTCCACAGAAACTATTATAAATTATCCATCATTTAATGCCTACCAAATCCTGCACATTGAAAAATACTTGGACTGGCCATCGTCGAGCTGATGACTTGACAGTGAGTGTTCTTGTTATTTGGCTTAGTATATCTACCCCATACTTCGGGAAGTTGTAAAACAATACAGTTTCAAGCTTATTATTTCCAGAATAGATGAGTTACTGTGCAAAAAAGTGAAAACCAAAACATTTTCATTCCTTTTACACTGGTAGGATGTCGGTGTGTATTTACTTTTATTCTCCATCATAACCAAACTGTACAGCTCTACCTTGCTTCAAAATCGTCGGCACTTCCATTAGCTCGAATAGTTTCCACCATACTTATATTTTTCTTGGTGGGTATTAATCCCAATGCTTCCCATGTGAAGAAGTTGTCAAGTGTGACATTGTAACCTTTCCCAAAGATGGATAAGGTTCAATACCACGCTCTTTGGAACACTTTCTGCATGTGACCAAGCTTCCTCCGTTCCGGAGTATGGAAATCCAGTTACAAGATATTTGCTGTCTACTTCTGCCAGAATCCAAAACTCGATACCGTACATATCAGGTTTGCTGGTCTTTTACTGAAGAAAATGATACCGGCTTTTGGTGCCAAACAACTGCTCGTCGACGGTGAGGTTTTGTGCGGGCACACAGCACTGCTGAGTTTCGAATAAATGCAATCCAGAATCCAGCAATCAACGCTAACATGTCAGTCTGCAATGTTTCACCTCTAGTAGTTCATATACCAAAATGAAGAAACCTTATTACTTCCTTGAATCTGTTCTCCCTAATTGTTTCCCTGAAAATGCGGTCCATGATTATCGCGCCACAGCATATTCATCGCTATGTTCTTCAAGCCCATAAAGCCTCTGATGTAAAGTAGCCCAATGAAAGGTAGAGACCACTTATGTTCTAGTGACAACTAACAGCTAAAACGCTCTGGGCATCAGATGCAGTACATGTTTAAATATGTTTCCTCATCTGGGGCGTAATTATGGTGTTAAAAGCACTAGAGAGCTCACCATATTTCACACATTTCTTAGCTTAGGCAGTTGGCGTTGGTTTGCCTTGAAAGCATTCTGTCCTGTCATCCTATCAACAGTAATTATTTAGGACTCTATCGGGGTGTACGATGTACCATCTTTTGCTACGTGAGCTCCATTAGAATATGCAGAAGCGGCTGATGCAGTCAGTTCTCGCCTTTACCACTGTCCTCATGAGGAGTGTCACCGTCAGAACTTTGACTATCAGAGATGCTATGTTCTTCTGCGTACTCCTATATAATGAAATCATCATCAACATCATGTTCATTCTCGTTTCCACACTCGTCATAATCGACAGTTGTAAGTTCTCATAAACCCTCATCAGCTTTTCTCCTACGAGCCATTGTGAATAAAAGTGGCATTTGAATAGGAAAACAGAAACCGCATTTTAACTGCGAAGGTTGGTCCAGATTTATCTTGGCTATTCAGTCCCGCTAGGTTGTCTGCTCTACGTGGTCATTCCTTGAAGCTGGACAAACCGCGGTCTGATCGAATTAGGGCGGAAATCCGGCTGTCACGCCGAGTTATTGAGCGCTGGAACATGCTTCCGGAAAATGTTATCAGGGAATCTACGGTTATGGGGTTTGAGCGGCAATTTGATGCTCTTGGGTGGCAACACGAAACCTTTCCCTTTTCCTGACTAATTCGCATCTTCATACTTCGATTTTCTTTCCCCTACTTTTCTTCATGCCCTGGTATTCTTATTTCAAGCGCACTTCCTTAATCTGTACCTTCGATTTCTCTTCCTATCCTTTACCTACTTCACCTGACTGCCAACGCAGGGACTGTCAGGGCAAGAAATGTGGGCCTTAACTGGTTGGCCAGGGTGCGATACGGGTGTTCCGTTTTAGATCCATCAATAACTCTGCGCACTTCATCAATTCCTGGCTCAACGATCCACTCAAGATAGAACACTCATGGGATTCTCCTATCGTTCCAGACCCACCCAAACTTGAACTTAAATTAGAGTAATGTGGTCATTGTGACCGCTTACGGGCTTTTTAGGTAGCAAGAGCACAACTCTTCTTTTTCTCGAAAATTATAACAATAATCAAAGTGAAACGTCACAGTTATAAAGTATTAGTAAAACTGTTAAAAGACAAATTTTCGGAAAATGCTTATGATTGTTGAAACAACGCTGAGCGGCCAAAATGACCACCCCGTACGTTTTAGTGTTAAACAGAGAATGCACTAAGTAAAACAGCCTAGTTAGTAAAAGGGAGGGCGTAGACTTCGTTATCAATTCCGACAGTTTGTCATGGAATAATTTAACCGCTTACGAGGTAGAAGTCACCAGCCCGTGGTAGAATAAGGCCGTGAGGGAGGATGAGAGATGATATTAGAAAGGTAGCGGGAGGCTCAGTAAGATTAACACCGACCTGGGATGCCTGCATGATATATTTTTTGAGTAGTGTACCTACAGCCAAACTTCGCTAGGTTGTTGGTTGATAGATCATGCGATTTGTTTCCTTAAACTTTCGGTTCCACTTTTGCTCTAATTTCTACTACTTTGTTTGCATCATATTCCACGCAGTTGAGCTGTTTTTGAAGTTATCACTATACTGCGTTATCCATGTCCTGCCATTCACGTCGTTATGTAGTGAACCAATTCCACCAGGCTCGTTGGTCTGAGTTTATTACTGTTATTCATTCACTCAACACTTTCACTGCATACTTCTCAATTTTCGTCAACTATGGCATCAAGGAGATGAATAGAGGTTCCATTTTCTTTTTCTGTTTGTACCCGTATAGTCCATTCTTACAGCTTGCGAAAGCTAGCGCGCAAACTCAGAACAACTCAGCATCGTACTGTAGTACATGCTTTATTCATTTTTCGCAGGGACACAACTGTATTTTTTCTGACAAGTCCCCAGACGCTTATGCTTTCTACCCTGTGTGTTTCACTTTCTGTGATGTGGCTAGTAACTCTGCTATCGTACCAACTCGATTAAACTACCTATGTACCTCAGTTGTTGACCATGATGCCGTTTTTCGTTGATACCATATATTTCTATTTACCTTTCGTGTTCATCAATTGAAGCTACTTCGCTGCCACGGTTTAACTGCTGTTACCATAACTATGAGGCTCAACTCAGATTCTTGGCTTCTTACATTAACCTCGTCACACGAACTGCTGAAATAACTTAATCTGACCGAGTTCAAACGTGCATATTTCATTCCGAGCACCTTTTGTCTACCTTCCATGTTACCAGAGGTGAAAGCGATTATTGTACACTATATTTGTTGCTAACTAGACAGAATGCCTTAACAAAATTTTACATCATATGTTTTGCTCACAAACTTTCTTCTCTCTATATTGCTTTTACCAAGGGCGACCAGGCAACTGTAACTCCCATGAGTAACTGGTTCGGTAAATTGGCCGCCTACACTGGTGGCATCGAGCCGACAACGGACGAGACAAGGGAGCTTCGCGATAAACGAGCCAAGACAACTGAGGTAGTCCTATCTTATATTCCCTCCGGGGTTCAACATTTACGATTTACAACCTACTAATTCGTTTACACTACCAAATTACTGCAGCACGTACAGACCTAATTAGCACCATACGCTTTGGTAGTTGCCATCTTCAAATTATTCCCTTGCTGAGATTTGAAAACAAGTTTAATTTGTGCATTCCATTTTTGTAGATAACGCGAGGTTTATCAGCCCATTTGATAAAGGCGCTTAAGCTAGCATTCTGTGATTCCAGTGGTTCTTCGTGTTTCATGGTAGATTTGATCGGTCACTTTGAGTTGACGATTAAAAAAGCATTTGAGAGCAGTGTGGTACCAACTTTCCCATTTACTTTGCATGACAATTGGTTGTCACGCAGTCCTCCGACACCATCCTACCTTTATGTTTATCTTTCAGAAAAAGCGTTTGGGGACATTCTTGGGCGTCTTCCTTCCGTGCTGCCAAAATATCCTGGGGATTCTCCTATTCGTTCGTGTTGGCTGGATTACAGGAGTTGCCGGCACACTTCAGTCTGTGATCATTGTGTGCATGTGTTGCTCTTGCGTAAGTGCCCGTTAGGTTTGCAAATAAAAACAAACAAATAAATAAACGGTTTATTCCTCGGCAGTGCGAGGCACAGTCTGTCTAGGTTGTCTGATCAATGTGTACAGCAAAATCGCTTAAAATAAGTAATTGTTCAAGCTTTATACAATAAATCCAGAACGGATTTTTGAAGTAGCAGACAGGTTTAATATATTAGAGACATTGAGAAACTGGGAACAACATCAAATCCAACTATCCGTGGAACCGTCCCTATGGGACCTGCTTCCATGCGGGGTATTCCCTCGATAGGTTTCGCTCGCACTTCCATGCCCTCTGGCGGTGTGCTGGTGTCGCGAAGTAGCAACTAAGCCATTACCTGTTTAACAAATATTGTGTTCATTTTAGGGATGCTTTTATGCTTACATTCTGGGCGATGAGGCCTCAGTCTGTTCGGTAATGCGGATCATTCACTAATGGCACCTTTTTATACGATAGTGGTTTGAACGTTTTCCAACATTTTCCTTACTGTGTAGTCTCCGTATGCCCACCAGATTTGATTCTTAGTATTAGAAGTATCTGTTAACGCGCAGCACGAGATACTCCGGTTTCAACTCACAACCCCTCCATTTGTCTCCAGGCAATTGCTTCACCCTGTGCTGTGAAGCGATCCTACTACTAATGCGCTAAAGGACATCTGTAAGGTGATTGGGACCTACACATTTGACCTGTTGCCTTTCTTATTTATACCTCGTTTTTGTGCCTTTGTTTACATCTATTGACATTGCCAAAGCATGCTGTTCTACCTGGCGTGTAACTGTCCAGTGAGACTAACACCTTCAAGTGTGTGCTTGCAAACCTTGTCTATAGACTCTAGACACACTTTCCCCATCACTCCTTCCTGCTTTTACCTAGACTGATAGTCCCAGCCTACCATCCCCACCCATTCTAACAAGGTGATTTATCAAGTGTTAATCATTCCGCATCCATGAACTGGCTGAATACTTCCCCGGTTTTGTATTTTAAGCTTTTTTAAAATTCCTTTGGGATACACACCACCGCGAAGGCTTTCTGCTACCCTATTACCCATTTACATTCTGTCATTCATCCCGGAGCCTACAGGTTGTCTGTTTAGCATGCCAACTGTCATTGTATCACACATATGTTGCTGAGTAGGTTACGTTTGGTCATTTCTGCTCACTGCCTCAACCGTATCACCAATTCACACGCCAACACCGCACAGAAAGCTGAGAAACTCCGCGTTGCTTCACTGTCTCAGAACTCTGTCCTTCAGAGACAAACAGTTTATTCGACTAATCATGCCCATCAATAACGAAAGCATAATTAGGTTTTAGGGACCTCGATGCAAATAACTAGGTCAATTCCATAACTGACGACACTACTGCATTCATGAGATTTTTCCTTTGAATCAGTTAAACAAACCCGCTCCAGCGTAGCCAAATACGAACCAATCAAGGCATAGGCGAAATATCCGTAAGTGTCCAATCAACTGCTCTGTTCGCTTTCGGCAAGCTATCCGCTTGCTTTGTCATGTAAATCCCTACTGTTCTTCTTTTCGCACATTCCTCTTTCATCCTTCCCATTTTTGGGATCAGCCACATCGATGTCACTGAAGACTCCGTACGCCCTTCCGCTCGGCGCAGTCCTTGCTGCCCCTGTTCTTGTGACCACTCCTTAAACCGTCAAGTTTTTTGCGGCAGGTTAATCTCCTCAGCAGCACTCGGTTCCTTCTGATTACCTTCCCTCTTGTATTGTGTTCATAAGATCTTGCCGTCTCTTTCTCTCAAGTATGAACTTTAGGCATACGAGAAGAGGCGCAACCACCTGGCGTCCTCCTTCACCAACGCAAGCCTGGTCATATGTAGGTCACATTGCAATCAGCTTTAGATGGCGAGGCAGCGTCCGGGGTGGTAGATCCATTTGGTCTACATACCTCGATTCAGATCATACTTTGGTCTGCGCGGACAACTGCATGCGCTTCGGCGGCCCCTCAAAACGAATGCCCCATATACTCGACACCAACAAGTAAGCTGACCTCTCTACTTCGTCAACTTATCAAGCTTCCTTATCGCATGCATTCATTGGTGCTCTACCTCGAGACATCGAAAAGCATTGGACTTTCCTGCGTGAAGCGATGCTAACTTCCAGTCATTCAATCTGCGGAATCACAAGACGCTCTCTGTGGGGCTGGATTTCCGCGCACTTACTGGAATTGTTTGACCGTCGTAGAGCTTTACCGACCGATTCAAATAGCAGTGCATTGCGTCGCATGCTCAGCCAACAACTTAAGCAAAAGGAAGTTGCGAAGAAATTTCTTTTCCATAAATAACTTCAGGCAATTGCAATTATGAGCTTTATAACCGAAAAGTAATTTCTTCGTAATTTCCTTTTGACATCAGAATAGGCATAATTTATGAAGTTAATCAAAGCCTGCGTGCTGATCGCGAAACTTGGTGGTCCCAGCGTACCTAAAAGATAAAAACGGCAGCCTTCCCTGGAAATTTTCGCAAGCTCTTCCAGATTATTCGGCCCACTGGTCACAATAGGCTTGGTGTCAGTGAGGTCATTTGCGACGTTGACGGCACGCCGATCACCCACTTACACAGGCGCATGGATCGATGGGCTGAATCTTTCCGCACTCAGTTCAACTGGCCTCCTCCGGTGGCGCGTCTTGGAACCACCCACTGAAGCTGACGTCTGTCTTGAGCTTCGACACTTAAAGCGATTCACATATGCTGGCCCAGACGGACTTCCTCCAGATCTGTTTGGGAGCGAAGTAATTATCAACCAGCTAATCACCCTGTTCTCGAAGATCTGGGGGGAAGAAACACTTCTATCTGCTTAGGGCGAGTCAATTGTCGTCCTGATCTTCAAGAAACGTGCCCGTATCCTATGTGCTAACCACCGAGGAATCAGTCTAATGTCCGTCACCTCCAAGTTGTTAACATCCATTCTACTCCGAAGACAAATACCGATCCGAGAATTGCCCTCCCGTGAAGAACAGGCAGCTTTCCACCCCGGTCGAGGGTGTATGGACCACTTGTTTACACACCGCCAACTCCTTGAAACGCGTCATCTTTACCGTCAGCCCAGTATCGTTGTCTCTATGGACATCCGAGCTGCTTTCGACTCCTTCGATCGACCAGCTTTATGGCGTTGTCTACAAAGGAATGGAGTACCCGAAAATTTTATTACCATCCTTAGAGCATTATATTGCAATGTCTCAAGGAAAGTGTGGGCTTTTGGTAAGCTCTTTTCACTCTTTGCCGTCACTAGCGGTGTACAACAAGTTTGTCCCATGTCCCCGTTTCTCTTCAATTTTGCGATCGAGGATGTCCTTCTAAACACTCTCGAGGGCTATCAAGGATCTGGTGTAGAGCTTTCTCTTGGCAACTGCGTGACCGAGTTAGATTCTGCTGATTATATTGCCTTGTTCAATGATGACGCATAAAGCATACAGGCTGTTCTAAACAGATTGGCGATTGAAACATCAAAACATGGCATGCCCTTTGCCCCTACGAAATACAAAGTTCTGGTCCTGGATTGGCTTCCACCTGCCCCAGTGCTCACTCTTCTAAGTACGCAGCTTGAACAAGTGAACAACTTTACTTAGCTTGGAAGCTGTGTCTCTGCTGATGGTAGCATTGGAAGAGAAATTTCCCTACCTATTGTCAAAGCCCGTTCGGCGTTCGCCAACCTGAGGCATCTGTGGCGACGCCGTGAGGTTTCACTGTTGGTAAAGGACAAGATCTACAAAGCCTTTGTTCGCGCAGTGCAGCTGCATGGGAATGAGTCCTGGCCGATTCGTGTGCATTATTTGCATCGGATTTCGGTCTTTGACGATGGATGTCTACGGAGATGGCTCGATTGTATTGGATGAAGCACTTTTGCAACGAAGGTGTTAGCCGTCGCGCTTTGGGTAACGCGGGACTTCCACTTGACAGACTAGTATCGCTGTGACAACTGAGATGTCTGGGCCACGTTCTACGCATGCTGTGCGAATGATTACCCCGACGCACTCTCTTTGCTCGCACGGGACCAGGCTGGAAGAAATCGCGCTGTGGTCAGCCTATCGCGTGGCGACAAACGATTAAATCGCTGACTTCCAGTTTAACTGCTGTGAATCTAATGCGTCTTCCAGGCTGGGGGATCAAATATGAAGAACAGCGCTGGCTGGAAACTCTTTTAGACACGGCGCAGAACCGGGCGCAGTGGAAAATGTATACACATTTTGTCTTGATTTTCTTGATTTACATCGCAAACAACGGCGTGTGAAAAAAACAAAATTGAAAAGAAACGCTTTGCTACTTTCCTGCTATTCTTTGTGGCCACTATAGTTAATACTAAGTTCTCATGGTTTTCACTAGCTCTATGCCTACCTTATAGACTTCGGATGCTATATATATATATATATATATATATATATATAGTAAGATTTTTCTCCGACCTTTCACGATCACTACACCTCTCTTCCATCTTTCACTGACACCCGGTATTGGTTAGATTCACATTTCATATTTTGCTGATAGCTTAGATAACGTCCGGGTCCCGCGGTTATAACACCGTTTCTGATTGGTCATCCGTTTCCTTAAGCCCGTTTGCTGTTACTCACCGACGTAAAAGTTAACTAGACGCGGACATTAGGGTTCTTGTCCTGTTGTATAGAATTTGAACAGGATTGAAACCGATGTTTGGTAATAGTGTGTTGCCAATCTCCAACAACATTAGATACAGGTTCTCTTGGATGGTTCTAACCTTAGACAACATCTTCTTGGCTAATTTGAGCGTCGCGTTTTTCCCTTCCGCTGGCTATGATACGGACTCGTTTTTCGATGCGAAAATTCCCACTTGTTCGCTAAGGTCTGGAACGCAGCACTTGTAAATTGCGGGCCATTGTTGGAGACCACTTTTTCCGGTATTCCGTATGTGGCGAACTGAATTCTAAGCTTACTGATGACTGCTTCCGTGTTGGTAGCGGTGAGTAGATCGATCTCGAAGTAGTCCCTGTAGTATTCCTT